AATGCAACGGTGAATTTCATCAAGTCTTTAGCAAATGATGCATGGGCCACTTCCCTTTTAAATATAAATATAAGAAAAATTAAACGAAATGAAAATTTTTGGGTTACCAAGGCCTCTCCTCTTTAAGAGATCCTAAAATATTTGAGGACCTCCATACATCAAATTCAGAATGGCCATAAATCATTGAGGACCTTCTTAACTATTTCAGGACCTCCATAATTTGATTTCAGGATATCATTAAATCGAATTGTGGAGGTCTTGAAATATTTTTGATATCCGGAAATAAAGATAACGATATATTTATTTCAAGTAAAGGGCCCATGCTGTAAATTATTACAAAGATTTTTTTTTGATAATTGAGAGACACAAATAATTTTGACAATCATTATAACTATGAATATAATCAATATATTTTATGATCTTTAACCACAGCCAGACCAGAGTCATCAGCATATGTGTAAAAAGCATTTATAAAATAGATAGTATAATACATTTACCGGCAAATATTCTTAATTAGTTAAATATAATATATCTGTACTATATTGATAGTTTTCTGAGTTCAAAACATTTATTAATAATACAATCGAATTATGTTTCAGGATATCATGAAATCAAATTATGGAGGTCCTTAAATAATACAGGAGCCCCTTAAATATACTAATTTTGATTAAATCCGCGCTTCATACATTTCATTGATATTGTCAGTTCATTTTTTAACCAACCCCGGGTAAGTTTTTGTCGTTAAAATCACCCACAATACAGCATATTTTAAGATTTCAACATTCATTCACCATAAACATGATATATTTCCACATTCATTCACCATATACATGATATATTTCCACATTCATTCACCATATATAGATATAAGAAGATGTGGTATGAGTGCCAATGAGACCATATACATGATATAGGCACATTGCCGTCTAGAGAAAGGGTATTGAAATATGTGACTGAGTTAAGGAACACATTATTTTACTTTGTATTGAAACATTCAGGTAAAAGCATTTATCATAGTATGTGTTCAGTTGGGTGCAGATCAAGCAAAAAAACTTAAAGTCAAGTTAACGCATGTGAACTTATTGTATGTCTTCTTCAAATTTGCTTTGTGTTGTGTCATGTCTGTCGTATTTGTGTTTCGTAAATTGTATGGCTATAAAATTAGGTCGTTTGTTTTATGGTTTGAATTGTTTCCGATTTTTCAGGTTAAGGTCTTTTATTACTAACTTACGGTGTGGGTTTTTATCATTGTTGAAGGCCGTACGGTGACCTATGATAGTAGATATATACGTCATTTGACCTCTTATGTATGGATAGTTGTCATATTGACAATCATCCCCTAGTTTTATATACAATGACAATATGCGTATACACGAATTTGGTATAAAAATTAAACATGCTTCTATTTTTATTCAAATGTGTTGTTGATGTGTAATAAGTGCGTGTTTATGTCTCATGTCTGCTGGGTTGTTTACGTGAAAGTCTTGTAAATGTGACATTTAACGACGCGTTGAACTTTTGCGTCACTGTGCTGTTTTGTTTATTCTGAACACAAATGATATGTTTTGCTTTGTCTGAATCCAATGATATGTTGTGACTTAATATGCAATTTGAACCGAGTCAAAACTAACTATCCACAGAGCAACAAATTGAAAGTAATGAAATGCAAAAGCTGATGGAGCTATTTAAAATTTTTTGACTTAAAGAAAATTAAAAACAAAACTTCTTCTGATTAATTTGATTAAACTTTTAACATTCTTATTTTAATTTTTTGATTAGTTTAATTTTTTATAGGTATTGCAAAATAACGAGAAAACGTTATCTTAAACCAAACCTAAACCCGTTTGCGATCAACAAAGTTGATAAATCTGAACTGTTTACTTTGACCGAACATACACATGAAGAAATGTGAAAAAACAACATAAAGATATGTTTTTGTCTGCAAATGTGTGCTTCCAATTGAGCCGTTCAGGTAGTAATAATCACTAACCTAACATAATATTGTTTTTTATTAGCATTTGGTAGATTTGTAGCCGAAATCCGTCCTGAAAACTACTATTATGATATCGGATAAAAGTTTGACTTTTATTACAGCCAGCAAAGAGTTTCGACCAGCTCGTTCTCTTTGAAGGACAAACGCAACAATAATGGAGCAGAATGGTATTCATATTCCAATTATAGAGCTCTATGTTTTTGATGTTTTTGAAACATATGATCGGATTAAATAAAACGACTTGCAAAAAGCACAAGCAACTAACAATAAAAAAGTTGGATATCGAAAAAATTTCTAATAGTGATTTGGAAATTTAAAACATATTGAGTGATAGACAAATAGCTTATGTATCATCCGAATTGTATATCCCATAGCGGTTGTTACAATCATGTTTTTGTGACTGGAGAATAATCCGTCTATCATTTTCGACAGACATAATCGAAAATATTGACATGTTAACCGTAACTCTTTCTTCTATCTTGATCTGTCCCCAAGATAAACAACATGAACTAAGGTAGCACTCAACAGTTATTAAATAAGAACTGGCCGTCATAATTGTTTAATCATTCTCTTTTCTTAGGATTCTATCAAAAAATGCTAACTGTTTAAGTCATTCATGGGCAAATACATGTTATTCAAATCCTTAAAAGATTTGATTTCCAAAAGTTAAAATTGGTGAATTATTATCTCTTTTTAGTGTATCAATGACAATATTTGGCATTAATTTGATAAAAAATATTGAAAAAAAATGCAAATGTCACCTGTGTCCCAACATTTGTTCTTAGGTATAAAGTGATAACTTTTCTAAAAACTTTCATATTTATCTATCAAAAGATAAAATAAATATGGTGCATTCGCTTTGTTTTCCAATAAAATTGCATCACAAAAAATTCAGGACAATTTCTGATATGGATATGAAGTACGGACTGTCAAACAAAAAATATCCCATAAAACATATAATGAACAATAAACAATACTGATCTGATATGAACCCATTTTGAAGGCTATATTATTTTTCAGCTAAACCGAAGCCAAGCTTAAAACTCTCAAATAGGCTTGGCTATGTGTGATGAAAATATAGTCTATTACTAGTACGCTGTAAATTGTTTATCTTTATAGTTATTACAAAATTTTGTATTTTCTTTTTTCCTGATATTCACGAAAAAGGGACAGAAGATGCTAAAGGTAAATTCAAAACTCATCATTCGAGATCAACTGTGAATGCCATAACAAAAACGAGAGACTACGAAAAGACAAACATTTACGTGACATATCTAACTAGCTTTACCAATTGTCGCCCTTTTACACACAAATGCCTTTACCGCAATTAGTCATTCAATTATTTAACACTGTGAACGAAACACAATTCAATAATAGCGAAGAATTGGTGAAAACATTCTCGATACGAATAGCAATAATTTTACAACCCACCATTTTTTTCTTCAAAAGTCCTGCACCAAGTCAGGAAAATGGCCATTGTTATATAATAGTTCGTTACTGTGTGTGTTACATTTTAATGTTGTGTTTCTGTTGTGTCGTAGTTCTCCTCTTATATTTAATGTGTTTCCCTCAGTTTTAGTTTGTAACCCGGATTTGTTTTTTCTCAATCGATTTATGAATTTCGAACAGCGGTATACTACTGTTGCCTTTATTTACAATACAGAGCAGAATACATATCGTTTTTCCTAAAATTCTAAATACGCATCTAATAATTAACTGAGTATTTAAAATCGAAAATAATGAGGTAAGGTACTAAGAGTAATCATGCTGAAGCAGGTCGCCAAAGCTGTTAACATATATGACGCGTTGTGAATAAAGTGTCTTATTCCAATCAGTTTTACGTGAAGAATAAAATTAGGAAGATATAATTTAAACGTAGGATGAAGAAACGTGACTGTACACTTAAACTCATTAAAAAATGATCAACAATACCCGGCATATAATGTAGTACGTCAGACGCGCGTTGCGTCTTCATAATACTCGAATCAAAATAATTTGAAGTCAAATCAATACTAGAATGGCGATACTCTCGGGAACAAAACGTGTTCCATCAGTGGCATCAACCCAGTGGTTATCAAAGAATAAAAATACCATGCGTATTAAATAATCAAAACAAAAAAACATGCGAGTCTTTGCTATAAGTCGATTTCAAATCAAATACGTATGTTTGTTTCTTCATGTTTTAAAATCAACACGTTTCGCGGTTACAAAAAACTCTTACTGTCACTTTTTAATAAAAGTTATGAAAAGTACACTTATAACTTTGTAGATATCTGGAAAAGGCAATCTCTTTCATGTTTGCGATCGTATAATTTTATTTATGCAAAGACCCCTCGTATCCAAGTTTAAAAACCGGACTATTCCAACATTTTATATTACTACCTGTAACGTCTATGTTATATAAGCACCTATGTTTTAATATTGTATTTATATTGTGTCATAGATCAAACTATTCGTTCAGTGTATGAACTGTTTTTGTTTAAATGTCTTTTTGATCGAGTTAAGCCATTTCAATTGATATTTTATACTGTGTCTTTTTATATTGTAATGTTGCACTGTCTCAGGTTAGAGTGAAGGTTGGCGTCTGTTAAAACGTTTAAACCCGCTGCATTTGTATGCACCTGTCCTAAGACAGGAGCCTGTGTTTCTGTGGTTGTCGTTTGTTTGTATGGTTCATAGGTGTTTCTCGTTTCTCGTTTTTTAAATAGATTAGGCCGTTGTTTTTCCTGTTTGAATTTTTTTACACTTATCATTTTGGGGCCCTTTATAGCTTGCTGTTCGGTGCGAGCCAAGGCTCCGTGTAAAAGGCCGTACTTTTTATATAATTGTATAATTGTTTTTATTAGACTTGGATGGAGAGTTGTCTCATTGGCATTCATACCACGTCTTCTTATTTATATTGATTTTCATGCCTTCATTTGAAATAGTAATCTGTAGAAAATATCGGATTTAATAATATTCGTCAATAAGATGTAATTGTCATGCTATAAAATTGATTAAATCTTACCCTCCTCTTCTGGTTCCGCAGACACAAAGTAATTATCAAAGAAATCGAAAAGAAAATCAAACGATGGTCTGTTGTTAGGTGATTCATGCAAACAACTGAGCATTATCTTGTGTACTTTGTCAGGACACTTATTAGCTTGGGGTGGTCTGTAACCTCTTTCCACCTTTTCCAGTACGTCTCTGTTTGCCATACCTAGCGAATAGAATGACTCGTTATGTAATTTATTGCAATGTGTTAATTTTATTATTTATTCCTAATTATCTGTGTTCCAATTATTACCATTACTTTTATTATTAAAAGCTCACCTGAGCTGTTGTCGTTACGTAACGTCCATCGTCCGTCGTCCTTTCCCGTACATACGAAAATCTTCTTCCCTAAAACCAAACTTTACCAGTCATAATTGGGCTATCTTGTAGAAAATAATGTCCAATGATCCCGCCTGTATGCAAGTTTTGTTTATGTCTTAAAAATCATTATAGATAGTAAAAATTTGACAGGACAGTAATGTTCAGAATGTTGAGATCCACTTACTGTAAATTTGAGAGATAATATCAGATGTCTCCTTTTTAGCCAATGTTTGTGTGCCTTTTATCGATATATACAATGAAATTTTAACGGCAGTTATACTGTGCCAATTAATATCTACAAAACAATTAAATGGCCTAAAGTTGACTGCTTATAGTAGTTATTGCTCTTAAATGACGATTTTTATTTTTTATATTTTTTTTATCTGTTTTTGTCTTTTATCATGCAAATTATAAAAGTTATAGAAATTCTAAATGGTTTTACTAATCAGAAGGACAAATGTACAGATAAATCTGTATATCTCGTCATAGGACTTTTCCTATCTATGACGGTTTTCAACATATAGATACAATATCAACATTGCCGAAATCATCATTTAATTCTATAAAGGAACTTCAATCCTATAAAAGAAAGGCGAATGTTACCAAAGAGACATTGAAACTCCGACAACGCCATGGTAAAAAAAAAGACGAACAGTACACAAAACATGCAAAACACAACAAAGAAAACTTGAGATTCTATAACGGTCAAACAACTCATGATGGCGTCCGTAAAATGTTCGAAGGGATGAGTTCAACTTCACCACTTTGGATCAGCAATCCTCACTATCAAGGAAATAATGATAGGAAACACACGCCCTCGAATATCGTATCAACTGGGAAATGTATACTCCATACGAAGGCGATGCTGGAATGTTGCTACATACAAATGGAAAATTCACAATTGGAAAGCTAAAATCATCTCTTTTGTCGTCAAGTGTTGTCTCCACAGACCCACAATGTCAATTTCTTAATGTAATTCAAGATATGAGGCACACTTAAATGTAACTGTTGTATCCTTTCTTTCAAGTTCAATTGTATAGATGCGTTAAACATAGTCACCAAACTTTGAATCACTTATTAGTGAGAGGACATCATCTATTTGGAGAAAAGCGAAGTGAAAGAATACTGCTAGTTTCTTTTCATACGTCCTAAAAAAGTCCTGTATGAAGTCTGCCTAATAAGAATAAAGAAACAAATTTGCACGCCGAGGAGCACAGTTGGTTCCCATGTGAATGCAGACTGTTTGTTACATAAAATTGCGAATGGAAATGAGGAATGTGTCAAAGAGACAAAAACCCGACCAAAAAGCAGAAAACAGCCGAAGGCCACCAAAGGGTCTTCAACACAGCGAGAAATCCCGCACCCGTAGGTGGGCTTCAGCTGGACCCTAAACAAAAATGTGTACTAGTTCAGTGAAAATGGACGTCATACTAAACTCCAAAACATATAAATGAACTAAAATTAAAAATCATACAAGACTTACAAAGGCCAGAGTCTCCTGACTTGGGAAAGGCGCAAAATTGCGGCGGGGTTAAACATGTTTAGTGAGATCTCAACCCTCCCCCTATACCTCTAGCCAATGTAGAAAAAACAAACACATAGTAATAAGCACAGTAAAACTCAGTTTCAAAGAAGTCCGAGTCCGATGTCAGAAAAGGTAACAAAAGAAACTAAGCAAAATGACAATGGTACACAAATTAACAAAGGACTACTAGCAGTTACTGAAATGCCAGCTCCAGACCTCAATTAAACTGATTGAAAGATTATGTCTTCATCATATGAAAATCAAGCACAATCCCCCCGTTAGGGGTTTAGTATCATACCATCATAAAATATATGAGAAGATCATAACCCGTGTCATGCCAACAACTGGTTTAGAATAAATATGTTTATTTCCGATGCAAAGACCCTATGAGTGAATCAATATTAAAACCAAAATATGCCATATTTAATGACCTGACAACAGTATCGTAACTATATCCCTTCTTAATAAGTCTGTTTAAAGGTTTGGTTAGCTTTTGAGGTGAATGCCGACATTTTTTAGCTTTGTAAAGAATATTACTATAAAAGATTGGATGTGAAATACCTGAACGTATAAGATGTCTGCATGTTGATTTATATTTACGAATGATGTCCTTGTACCGGTGATATAAAATTTAGTAAATGTTTTGACTAGTTTGTGATATCGAAAACCCTGGTGTAATAATTTTTCAGTAATACAGAGATTTCTTTCGTTAAAATCAAATACGTTATTACATACACGAGCGAATCGAACAAGTTGAGATATATAAACACCATAAGATGGTGACAAGGGAACGTCACCATCTAAAAATGGATAATTAACAGTAGGAAATGAAAAATCATCTCTTTTATCATAAATTGTGGTTTTAAGCTTCCCGTTAAAGATATAGATATCAAGATCCAGGAAAGGGCAGTGTTTATTGTTAGTATTAGCTTTATTCAAAGTCAGTTCAGCCGGATAAATATCTTTAGTGTACATACTGAAGTCGTCATTATTGAGAGCCAATATATCATCCTAATATCTAAAAGTGTTATTAAAATTTTGTATCAGATGTTGTTTCGATGGGTCTTTGCTGATTTTAGTCATAAATTGTAATTCATAACAATATAGAAACAGGTCCGCAATGTGAGTACAATGATGGTCGTCAATCTTAAAATTCACCTTTGATATGCCATTGTTGAAATAATTCAAAATTGTTTTAAAGTTCTAGTTGGGTGTGATATGTAACTTCAATTAAAATTAAAAAGCAACCTAACTGTCATAACTACTAATAATGCAATTTTAATAACTTTTACAAAACTGATTTCAATAAAATTAATATAAATTAGGAAGAAAGAGGCGGGAGATACCAAGGGTACATTGAAAACTAAGTCGAAAATGCCCTTTATTCATAAAATAATTTGAACGAAATTCAAAATTTTACCTGCACGATTATAAACATATTGAATTATTTTCCATGATCCTAGATAGCGCCGCAACATTCTCCAAATTAACAGAAATAACAGTACAAGAAACAACGGGTTCAGAGCACCTTTAAAAAGCATATACAGTTTTTAAGTAGATAAATGTAATCGAAAAAGTACAATGTTATTTCATGATTTGTTTGTCTTGACGTCGTCGTACTCATGTTCCATGGAAGGAAAACAAGTTAAAAATATGCACAAATGGTTAATTAATCATATGAAAAAAAAAAACGAACACGATTTACCGTTTTGCGTTGTTTTCACGTGGATCTAAAGATAAATATTTGTACTTTGAGCGGGAGTCATTGAAAGATATGACCGTCGTAAAACATACTCGAAATAGGAGACGACAAATTTTAACATTTTTTAGGTTTTTTTCTAAAGTGAGTACGTTATAAATTACCTGTGTATATATCTATAAGAAATTGCATATAAAAGTGTATATTTATTTATAAGTCACGTTAGAACAGGTTTACTTATCCATAGAACACGATGTCACCCTCATACAATCTTAATCTTAAAAAAGCTTATATTATAATAAAATGTGTACAGATTTTCACAAAGGAGTGACCTTCCTTATATAGCATCTCAACAAAAAATTCTTACATAAAATGGTACGTACGATTGGACAGATTATATGACAGACACACAATTACAAGGCAACAGTAGTATACCGCTGTTCAAAAGTCATAAATCGATAGAGAGAAAACAAATCCGGGTTACAAACTAAAACCGAGGGAAACACATCAACTATAAGAGGAAAACAACGGAACAACAGAAACACTGAAGTGCAACAAAAACCAACGCCAACATATATAGAAACGGACTATGTGATAACAACTGCCATATTCCTGACTTGGTAGAGGACATTTTAAGAAAAAATGAAACCCGACTATCCTAGGATGGGCATACAATGCAAATTACCATACTACACCCTTTGAAAACTTTAACCTGCTGCATGTCAGGACGGTAGCAGCTACAACTATGGCATTCAATTTCGTAATTTCAACCATCCTTTGAAATGAAATGATATTATAAAATAAATTTTGGATTTTTCCAAAACACATATTTGCTAGAGTTTTCGGAAAAATAATGATGCTATTCTATGATAAAAAAATATACGTCGGTTATATTTTTAAATTATAAGATATAATTCATTACATTACAAACACCCAATATTTCGAATCCCTGTTTGTTGGACATATAGCATTGGGCCTTTTGTTTCAAATGGAATTTTTGTATTCCTCATTTTGTTGTTCTTAGTTGGATGAATTGAATTCATATTGTTAAAGGCCTACCAAAACATTTTCTTTTTCATTTGACATCTATTGCCTCTTTCAAGTGCGTGAGAAGAAAAGGTCCTATTTAAGAAAAACCATGCGCTAAGAAAAATAGAAGAGAAAATACTAATTTTTCAGTGAATAAGAAGGGGGGGATATGTTCTAATACGATCAACTAAGAATATTTTAAAATGCTAAATGCTCAAATAACATCTTGATTGATTTTAATCAAGAATTAGTTTCATGGTCAAGAATATGTATCATTAATGACTTCCTTTGTAGACATTTTATTTATTGATTAGTCTACGTGGAAACAGGAATTGATTTTGGAAATTTGTAAAAATTCAAATGACACAATTTTACGATGAAATGGTAGGAATTGTATGAATTTCTTATTCTGAGTACGAATGTAAATCATGTAATCTTTTAGTAAGGACTTATAATTTTTATTTATTTACAGTTCAAAGCAATAAATTTCCAATTTGAGTAACAACTACATGTATTTATTTTTCCACAGCCAATGCCTCTTTGTTCCACCAAATACTTCGTTTTTTGTGAGGTATTAAATAATTAACATTAATTAATTTTTAAATGTTCAAAAAGTATGCCTTCCTGTTTTAATTGTATCGCTACATTGAAATTGACTATTCTTATTAACCGAGGATCTAAATATAGTAATCTGAATTTGTGGTAAGCTTATGAGATATAAGTTTAGAATATATTTAATTTATGAGATTTTTTTTGTTTTTTACATTGTTTTGATATTGTTGTGACAATGTTTCATTTTTAAGTCATTTTGAAGTTATTAGTATTCACATAATAGCATTAACGGCTGATGATTTTAGTCATTGTTGGATGTTGTCTTACTAACCATTTTTTCCTTTTATAGTTTCTCTCAAGCTGGAAAAATCGCAAACAATTGGTAAAATTCGTTTAGAAGTTATAGGCCCGAAATGACAATTTTTATGAATAGTTAGTGTTTTTTCCATTTATCTTGAAAACTATAATATATTGAGTCACATTTTGAATAACAAAAATCATAAAAACAAGATGATTTAGATCCACAACCAAGTCAATATGGCCAAAATCGTTAGATGACTTCTTATAGGAGTGATTGCCCTTAAATGACGATATCTTGTCTATCACCTTTGAAAACTATCATAAATAGAGAGAAGAACAAAACTAATCAACAAGTTAACTTCTACAAAAAAGACAACAATTGAAAAAATTGTCAGTTAACTCCTGATAGGAGTTTGAAAAAATGATCAGCAATACAAGACCAACAAAAAGAGATTTTAGTCCATAATGGTGAAGCGTGCCCATTATTGAATATGCACTCATGTCCAGGTGAACAACATAGGCTTGGCTTCTTAGAGCCTCTAGTCTACATTGGTTTTTGCTGACAAATAACAAATCTTGCCACGTGACCTGAATCCTACTAGTGCGTTGAACTTCCTTTCCTGTTCTCTTCCTGTTAGCTTAATAAAATGTAATGGAGTACTTGTTATTTTTCTAAATATGTTCTGATTGATAATGGTTAATAAATTACCCGGATATGGTATCTGTCCAAATGTTGTCAATTCCACTAAAAGGATACCAAAGGACCAAACATCTGACTTAAACGTAAACTTGCCATACAATGCAGCCTCTGGTGCTGTCCATTTTATAGGGAAAATGACACCTGTAAAACAGTTTAACAAGTTTAAGAAGGAATAATACTACCATATGAACCAACTTAATAAGATACCGATTTATACAAACTGTTACTGAAAGGGCAATACAATTTAATTACTCTACGAATCGTAGACACTTTTTTTCTCCAGCAGACATCATTTAGGTTCGAAATGAAATTTTTAAAAAAAGAGTCAAAAAGACAAAAAACAAACGAATGATGAAACTAATTCTTTGTCAATTGTATGCATCCGAAACACTTTTCTCGATTTACCTTCACCAGAAACGCTAAAAGCAAAAACAAAATAAAATAAAAGCATTGAATGCTATATAAGTACCGAAAAACATATGAAGCTATATGACCAACAAGGACCAAAATCAATCAAAGATCAACTTTGCATGAGGCAGTCGGCCCCTTATTTCATAATAATTTCTAATTTTGATATTTTTACCTATTATGTCTGTTTGTTTTGTTCACACATCGTTGTCAATATAATGGAATTTTATGCGACTGCCATACAAGTGAGAGGTTTAGCTAGCTATAAAACCAGGTTTAATTCACCATTTTCTACATAAGAAAATGCCTGTACTAAGTCAGGAATATGACAGTTGTTATCCATTCGTTTGATGTGTTTGAGCTTTTGATTTTGTAATTTGCTTAGGGACTTTCCGTTTAGAATTTTCCTTGGAGTTCGGTATTTTTGTTATTTTACTTTTAACTTATCAACAGAGAATTTAAGAAAGGTATGTTATGATAGCGGATATGTCCCTTATGTCGTAACTACAATCCCGTCCCCTTTTCACGAATGTGACCTATCGAATTAGACTTGTTACCGGGTTTGTACTAACATGAGCAACTCGACGGGTGCCACATGTGGAGCAGGATCTGCTTACCCTTCAGAAGCACCTGAGATCACCCCGAGTTTTTGGTGGGGTTCGTGTTGCTTAGTCTTTAGTTTTCTATGTTGTGTTTTGTGTACTATTGTTTGTCTGTTTGTCTTTTTCTTTTTTAGCCATGGCGTTGTCCGTTTATTTTCGACTTATGAGTTTGAATTTCCCTCTGGTATCTTTCGCCTCTCTTTTATGCCTTAACGGCATTATCACCAGTAGAACTGTGTTTTTTTTTATCATAAATCATTCCAATTTAGATAATTTAGAATGAAAATACAAACCGGTTAGCCACCCCTACTGTTAATTTACGTTTTTCCTTAACGAAAATTGTAAGACGAACTTTCAAACATTCCCATTTAATTAAAAAATTCAACGACTTCTTTTAACGATGATAAAAAATAGTTTGATGATATACTTGTCGTTGATAATACAGATTTTTATAAGACTATATTTGAAGTTCAAGTACTCGCAAAGCGTTTTGTGTTTGTACCGGCCGACAAAGGAGCCAACAATGTTGTTAAGTTATGACGTAACTACTACACGGAAGTTCTTGAGAATGATATTATACGTTCGTCTATATTCAAGGCCTGCACTTCACAGAGAGATAAAGAGTAAACAACTATGTCACTTCAACATCTCTGCTAAAAGCCTCCTCTGAACATTTGAAAGTCCCTTCTATATATTCGTTACCTAAACTACACAGAAAACCCGTACAAAATATTTTCATCTCAGCTTCTGGTAACAGTTCTACTACTTATCTTTCTGTGCATTTAAACTAGTTCCCGTACTTAGATTAAAGAACTTGTTATTAAATTTTGTAATAAAAGCATATGAATATAATTGAATTAATTAATTTTGGAGGGTAAAAATCTCTTTTGGTATATTAGATAAATAACGTGCTTGTGATGGTACTTTCAATTTGGATGACTGTTATAATTTTTCGACAATTTACACTACACTTTCGCACAATTCTATCAAACAGAAGTTTTCTTATTTAATTAAATAGTCCCTTGAAAATTTTGATTGCAGATTTCTTTGCTGCAACTCATTTCAAAACCTTCTTCTGTAATGAAAAGGTAAATAAGCTAGATATTGTGCTCATTAAATAGCAGACTTGTTTTTGTCTTGTTATGAATCGCAATATATGGCCAAACTCAGTAAAGAACCGTCTTAATTTCATTTAATATTTAAATTTGATAAAGCTTAACGTTAGTTGGATGATAGTTTTGCTATACCAAGAATTCTACGGAAAATTTACAAGTTTTACGGAACAAAAGTGTATGATTGCTTTCACCTGAACAGAGAATTTCTAATCTAGAATGATTATCCTTACAATTACTTGAAAAAAAAACTTTCGGATTGAAAAACAACGTTGATCGACGTTCCTTTCATTCACTTAAAATTTAATTATGGATGTATTGGGGGAAGTATATTGCCAATTGACCTTAAGGTCTTTCCCCCTTTTGCATTGACAGATTGCAAAACAGGCTTTTCATCTCTGACATAGGTGTGGTTCGACATGATATCAAATATTGTCAGTTAAGGGCAGACAAATACATCTTGTTTCAGAATGATAATGTCATTGCCACAGAGCACTGCTAATAATATACATAATATTCACAATTATAATAAAAATAATAATGATAATAATAATAATGATAATAATAACCATAACTGTGGCGCTCGAATTAAAACAAATGAAATGTCATTTCAAATACAAAAGTCTCATTTCTTCAGATTCGTTATCACAAATTACTAAAAACCAAACCGTTACTACATTTCTTCATACATGCAGATTCAAATATGTTGAGAAGTTTTGCTGTAACTCGAATAACTTATTATTACATGTTATCAATTTAACACTATAATTAGACCTTTTTTATCGGTAATAAAATCTAATCAAAGATACCAGGCTAAAGATTGGGTACGTCAGACGCGAGTTTCGTCTTTATAAGACTCATCTGTAGCGCTCAAATTAAAACAGATGGAATGTCATATCAAATACGAAGGTCTCATTTCTTAAAACACCGAATAAGACTTACAACCGAATTTGATCTTAACATGAACGACAGGATGGATGCACCTAGTAGTTTAGAAACGTTTGTTAGCCCTTCTGGAGCACTCGAAATCACCCCTAATTTTTGTATGGATCCGTGTTCCTCAGTCGATAGTTTTCTAGGTAGTGTTTATGGACTTGTTTGTCTTTCGTTGTCTTTCATTTTTGTTGCCATAGGGTAGTCAGTTTCCCTGCTAATTATGAGATTTGATTGTCCCCTTTGTAGCTTCCGCCTCATTGCTTTAAAATCAATGAAATCCAAAAATTCCGACATGTTGTGACAAATGCGACTAATGATATCTATGATTTGTGGGAAGATAAACATAACTTGTTCCGAAAAATGCTAACATTGATTGTATTAATAATGAATTGAAACATAACTAAATGTGTAATTCTATACATTATGAACACTTGGCACCGCACTAAGTCATGCTTTCCTCAAACTGTTGATGACGTTTTTCTACTTTATCTTTTGGATGTCTACTAATTGTTTTTAAGTCTCGGACACAATGATTTATCAGTTAGTTGTAATTAGCTTTAAACTAGCTTTGAGTAATTGCGAGTCGTCTTAGATCGGTAATGTGTGTCTTTTTTTGGTAGTTGTCTGAATGCTTCGTGTTCATTTGATATATTGTGATAAGTCAAGCCATTTCCAACTGATTTTTAAAGATTGTATTTATATTGTGCTGATACAACACTGTCCCAAGTTAAGGTGAGCGTTGAGAGGTCTCAAATATGTTTAAACCCGCCAAATTCTATATGTGCTGTTCCAAGTCAGAAGCCTGTTATTCAGTGGTTGTAGTTGGTTGCTATCCGTCCCACTGGTTAATTGATTATGTTTTTATCATTAATCAGGCTGCTGATTTTCTCGTTTGAATTGTTTTTATTTATGTCGGGGTCATAAATAGCTTACTGAACGGTATTGGTTTCGCTCATTGTTGAACATCGTACAGGGACCTACATTTGCTAACTTCCTTGCCATTTGGTCGAAATTTTAACTTATAAATAAACCAACTTCTATCAACAAGTTTATCTCAAAATGATTTCATTAAAGACGTCATATGCAATATGGAAAAGGATGACGTTTTACATTATAAAACATAGTATCGATAGGATACAGAATCAAAAGGCAAGTATCAAATACTAGATTTTTATACTTGAGTAGTTATATATTGATTTTTTTAAAAATAAAATAAGTATTTGAACTGATAAAAATATTCATAAAGTATACTAATTCATAACTTCAAAAGTAAACTCATTCATACAATTTAGAATGATATTTCGAGCACAAAATTAAGAGTCTTACAAAGTATTATAAAATAAAGTAGTAATAAAATTATATGTCATATAGTTCCTGTAGATTGTAATGTATTTGTCACGTATTGTTTCAAATATCAGGTTTTCTGTTTCCTGTATTTTTCAAGAGAAATTATCACTACTTCTTAAATCTGAAAGAAAAAAAACCCAAAAATTTACAAAATTACCGTCTGAAGGTTTGTATTCATCTTCGTCTTCCTTAAGAACTCTAGCAAAATGAAACCCAGAAATTTTAGTCTCCAGTTTATCATTGATTAAGACGTTATCTGCTCTTAAATCTTTATGTAGAATTCGCTTTGTTCCTAGATAGTTCATTCCACATGCGACCTGGAAAATAAATGTGTATACTAAATAATTTCATGTTTTCTTCCCTGTATATTCGTTTTGTAGCTAAAAAATTCATTAATTACTTTTTTTACGTCAAAAAGATACAAAAGTGTATTTAAAACTTGCCACAATTTCAAAAAGGGTGTTTGTTGGTGTGCAGACAGCAACACATAAGTTGTCGTTAAATTGATGGAGTTTTTTTTTCCTTCAAATAACCTGTATCTGTACAAATACCACAAAGTAAAGGGTATAACAAAAATAGAAAAAATGTCGAAAATATCTGTATTTACAAGTATTACGTTTATGTGACATTGAGTTGGAAATATGCACATTGTCTTAACGACGTCAATCACAACCTAAAAGCTATCCACCTACATACAAGAAAATTACGACCGAAAAACAAAG